ATAAAAATTAAGATTAATTTTAATTGCAATGGGGCATTTTTGCCCCCTCATCTTGAATTTCGGGGACATTTTTGTAAATTTTATATATTTTATATATATATATATAAAAAAAAATGGTAAAATACGTCTAAAATAATTAAAATTAAGATTAATTTTAATTGCAATGGGGCATTTTTGCCCCCTCATCTTAAATTTCGGGGACATTTTTGTTAATTTTAGTGGCATTTTTGCCTCAACCCCCATTAATTTCCGACCCTGATCATAACAGTAATTCATATAACACATGCATTGTATTTCAGGTCTTCTGAAGTTTGCATGAAGCATAGACCCACATTTAAGACATTCACGAGAACTTACAGCCTTACAGAAAATAGCACACAAGTCATATAAACCAAAGAAGCAAAAAGGACTGAAAGACACGAGGGTGAGTAAATGATGACAAAAGCATTAACACTTTAAAACCATACTAAATGGGGGTTACTAATATGGTTGGTTATTCCAGCGAAGTGTCTGATTAATGTAAGTCAGAGTTGTGGAGCGGCTGGAGTTCATATAGTTTCATTAGATGAAGAATTCCAATAAGCGGCTCATAAAGAAGACGTTAATCCGCACAATAACAGCGATGCCAAAGCACACGCCAGCACGCTTAAACCGCACCGCTGAGAAGAGAAACACCAACTTTCCACAAGCAAAGCAACAGAGCTGCACTGTAAAAAAATGAGCGTGAATTTAACGGTAAAAGACTGTAAAAATGCTACCTGTTAAATGGTTAATGGTAAGTGTTCCTACTATATACGGTGAAAAACTGCATTGGACTTTACATGTAATTTTACGGTAGTATACCGTTTTTGGAAGTGAAAAAGACCGTATAATTTACAGTGAATAACCGCAAATTGACGTTCCCAGAATTCCCTGCGTTACATTTCAAATTTGATGTATTTTTGTTGAAATAACTATGTTTCTTCTTAGTTTTTTTCTTATCAGTTTTGTACATTAGGGTTGTATGTTACACCGAATGTTGTTAAATTAATGTTTATTGCATGGTTTCAGTTTGATGTGTGTCACCGTGATGGTGTTTAGTGTTTGTGTGAATGACACTGTGCACCTTCTATATGTGTTATTATTTTAAAGCTGCTTGTGATGGGCTTTTGGCAAAACAGATTTCAGTACTTCAGTGGGTTGGTATATTAACATTATATCAGTTAATGAAATTAAGGTATTTAAATGTAAATTTAAGTTAAAAGCGTAAAACCTAAAATGTTGCTACCGTATTTTTTACGGTAAAATTCTGGCAACCACAGCTGCTGGTTTTTTACTGTAAATTTTACGGGTTTGTTTTTTACAGTGTGCGAATGCATTTGCTGAAGGAGTTGATGAAGCTGAAGCGGTTACCTGAGGCGCTGCATGGCTGAGAGTCATGTGACTCGTGTCTGTAGAGCAGGTGAGGTTTGTTGTGCTCTTCCTCATACTCGTCTCCATCAGCGCTCAGCAGCGGCTCCAGGAAGAACTGACCGCTGTGCGTCGTGAACGTGCCGATCTGAGGAAAAACACCACACTATCACCATCACGTTTGGTTTAAGTGATCAGAACAAATCCTGGGAAGAACACACCTACAACACTGCCATCTTTTATTAAATGGACGTTCCTGCTGTTTTTTCTAAAACCATTTTATAATATTCTGTTTCAGTGATTTTAAGATGACCCGCTTCATGCTGCACCTAGCATATTGCCTGGAATATTGCTTTAATAAACTATTTCTTGGGTAATATTTACAAAGAAACAAATAAGCAAATTTCTGAAATAACAATAATAATCAATCAAATAAATAACAAATAAATAAATATTTTACTCATGGGTAAAATAAAATATAAATTAATATTACATTAAAATATATTCAATTTAATTAAACTGAAAAATATAATAAAATGAACTAAAAATAAATAAATATATATACATAAATAATTACAGGGAATCACCTGCAAACAACAACCGAAGAAGGCCACAATCACTAAAAATATCATAACATTAGTCTAAATAATAATAGTAAAAAAATTATAATTAAGTAAATAAATAAATACAAAATTAAAATAAAGGTAAAAAAAAATGAAATACATTAATACATAAAACTGAATATTAAAAGAAATAATAAATGCAAATGTGCAGTAAAATAAAATACATACAAAATTACAGTAAAATAAATTAAATACACATGAACTGTATAAATAAATTGAAAAAAGTAAAATATATACATAATAATATAAATGTTAAAATAAATAAATGTAAATTAGCTAAATAAAATTAATACTAAAATAAAATACACCAATAATTAATAGTAAAACAAAATAAACATGAATAGTAAATACAAATGCATAGTAAATTAACAAAAAAAATTGTAAAATAAAATGAATAAATAAAAAGAATAATAAACAACTGAAAATAACGAGTTAAATAAAATCAATATTAAAATACTTGAGCAGCATATATTATAATAAATGAACAGAAAAATAAATAAAAAATTAATTAATCAACAATCAATCAAAATGAATACAAATTAATGTTGAATATATAATAAATAAAAAATGAATAATAAATAATGAGGCATAATGATTGACAGTCACATAAACCCTTCTCTAGAATCATGGGTCATCACCACGGCAACACGTTCAAACACAGAATTCCACATTCCTGCATACATTCCGAACGGGAGCAAGCTTTATGATACTGTACGGAAAACATCCGACAAAAACATACCAGCAAATAACGAAGTGGAAAAACGCTTGGGTCTGTTTGAACCAATGGAAACATGCTTGACATGAATGCAATGAGTTTCCATGAAGACTGTTATTATACACACTGATCTGATTCTCCAGATCACAGTCTGCCATTCATCTGCCCTCAGAAACACGGGAGAAAAGGCCATTTCTGTGTCATCTCTCCCACAGCGTGGCCTTTCAGCGCCGCAAATACTTGTGCGGATATTCAATCAAATATTCATTATTAAATCGAATCACGAACAGCTATAGGAACAGATCAACCTCAAACGACAACTGAAAAAGGTCAAAATCATTTAAAAAATCATAGCAATAATCTATGTGCTTGAGTGATTGAAAAGAAAAATAGTAAAATAAATAAATTAAAAAAATAGTAAAATAAAAATTAAATTTTTTTTTTTAAATAATTAATATATAAAAATAAATCTTAAAATAGCCAAAGTCACTACAAACAACGGCAATCTGTAAGATTAATTTTAAAAATAATAATAATAATAATAATAAATAAATACAAAAAATAATTTTAGAATAAAGTTGATATATTAAAAATAACTATTAATTACATAATTATAATAATTATTATATAATAAATATATATATAAATATATATATATAAATATATAATAAATAAATAATTATAATAATTATTTATTACAAAAAATTTAGTCAAAGGTATAGTCAAATAAAAAATAAGTACATTAAAATACTCTAAATTAATACAAATGAATGTTAAATTATACAAATAATAAATAAATGACATAACATAGTGTGAGCTCATACAAACTATGTTGCTATCAAATCAAATATTGACTATTAAATCAAATCATGAACAATTAAAGGAACAAATCGCCTACAAACGACAATTGAATAAGGTCAAAATCCCCATAAATAACAGCAGTCTTTATGATTATTGCACATCTCCCAGGTCTTCAGAAGTCATGACGGATCTGTGTGAGGAACAGACTGAAGTGACGCCGGCTGAGAGACGTGCGGTCTGAATGACAGCAGAAGAGTGTTAAAGCCTGACATTAGGAAGATGTCGCTCAGCAGAGATTCAGAGGGATATCGGGGAAGATTTCTGACAGCTAAACACATCCGATCGCAGCCTGAGGGATGGAAAGATGACATAACGCTCCCTCACAAATCCCACAAATCCCTGAGAGTACAGCAGCGACACACACACACACACACACGTTCAGACACGACCAACAGACCAGCACAACAAAGGAAGAGCCGTGACACCGCAGTAAATTATGGTAAAAGCACAGTATGATACACGAGTACGTAGTGCTGGGCGGTATACCGGTGTACCGTGAAACCGGTATAATTTTGAAAAATACCGTGATATAAAATACCGCCCAGCACTACGAGTACGCTTCAAGAACAAGTCTGGCTTACATTTATCACTCAATCAAAACTATTATAGAATTACTCATAAATAGATTACATGTTGAAAATAGGAAAACATTTATTTTTTTAGAATTTTTGACAATTAATGATGATAGTGATAAAGAAAAACATTGTTTAAAAAAAAAGATTTGACATGTTTTCCAAATGCTCATTACAGTGATGCAATGACTGCCATTAATGTAATGTGAAAACAAAATGTTTTATTATAACTGTAAAGTATGTATGTGTTATGGTATCTTTATGCAGTATATAAGTAAATATCATTACAAATAAAAAAAATTCAATATAAATTATCTCGGATCTAAATATATATATATATATATATTGCTTAATGTTCTTCAAGCAAAATATAATAATAATTAAATATTATTAAAAATATAAAATATTTTTTTTT